TTAATTTAATGAAAGTCAATTTCATCCCACACCATTCATCCCCACACCATGACATTTCCACCACCATGTTTTACTGTTCCTCTCATGCAACTCAATCTGTATGTCTTGTCTTGTTTTTGCCAAACTTTTTGCTGTCTATTCGATAAAAATCAGGTTAAATTTGGATTCATCACTTCAAATTACTTTCTTCCAGTACTCAATAGTCTTGTCAACATACTTTTTTGCAAATAATGATCTTTGTTTCATGTCTTCGAGTCAAATAAGGTTTATTTGCGACAAACTCTACTAAGAAATCCTTGCTCTTGGATTCTATTTCAGATAATTTGAGCTAAAATCATGATTTTGTGGTCTTTTTTAACTTTGTCTGCAATCTTTTAAGCAGCTTAAAATCTTTTTTGCTTGACTTGTAACATAATGTTTCTATCAATGGCAACAGATGTTTTTCTTTTACGGCTTCTTACTGCTATATCAGTTGTAGTCCCATTCAAATTATACTTTTTTAATAATGTTACCAACTGTTCGAAAAAAGATTCCAGTCTGCTTATGAACTTCTCTGTAGATCTTACCATTATTTATCAAACCCACAAAGTTTCTTTGAGAAAGTGTCCAGTATTGTTTTAAAACATGCATGTTGCTATAAATTATTCAATTTTATTCAATTAATCAAAATTCATGGATTACATATATCTTTTATGTTTTACATATGTAAATATCATATTTACATAGTGTTTCATATAAATAAATTTTTGTAAATATAATTGTAAATATAATTTTAGACTTAAATTTTATTTTTTTCCCACAAAAATTCAAAAAAATACTAAATAAAATTTTTGTGCCAGTAATTATTTTACTTCCAATATGCCACCTATTTATTATTATTATTTTACTTCCAATTTGACGCTTGTGACAAATATTGTTTTTAATCTTTTTAAAATCAATAATCCTTTGGTAAAATCTAAAAAATTTTGGTAAAAAATAAAGTATATATAAAAATTTTCATAATAGTCTTTGATGTACATTTAAACTTTTTACAGTTTTTAAAAAATATAAGTAAACGGATAAGTTAAAAAGAAAAAAACTTTTAAAAAATTGCTTATGCCGTTTGTTTATTTGCCTACTGTTAATGTTGCAGACATTTTATATAAAGCACATAAGCGGCTTCTTTAAAATTTTTAAATCAAATTGCACACATCTGATATTTTAATAACACAGGAAAAAAAAAGTTTTTTTGAAGGGTTTATTTTTCTTTCACTTCAAATTCAGTAAATGAAAAGGTCTGTAATATAAACAATTTAAAATAATATAGAAATATCAAATATTAAAATGATATAAAAATATAATTTAAAAAAATTTAAATGGTAGCAGAATAGCACTTTAGATTTTCTTTTTCATTGTTTTTTTCATTTTTAAAGTCATATATATATATATATATATATATATATATATATATATATATATATATATATATATATATATATATATATATATATATATATATATATATATATATATATATATATATATATATATATATATATATATATATAAATATATATATATATATATATATATACGCACATATAATATATATATATATATATATATATATATATATATATATATATATATATATATATATTATATGTGAGTGTAAATATATACATATATTGCATTATATAATTTCTAAAATAAAGAGAACTTTCTACAAATACCCAATTTTTTTTTGTAAACTTTTAAAATGGAATTTTCATTAATTAACTTCTTACAAAAAGGAATTTTTATTATTTGAAAAGTTAATTAAATTGAATTAAAAAGTATACATATATAAATTGCAAAAATTGATCATGTGAAAATTTTAGTTATAGAAAACATATTTGCTTAAATGCAAACATTTTCGTATTTAAAATTTTATATAACTTTTTTACAAGTTGATAGCAAAAAACATCTGGAAATTTCCAAACGCCTAAAGGGATCCCCAATTGCTGAGACAAGTTATAGTTGTATAATTGTGTCATGATTTTGGCTGGCTTTTAAAATAAAGTAATAATAAAGCAAGTAAAAAAAAATTATAAATATAAAAATATATATACATATATGCGCATAATTTTTTACTAAATCACAAATATTTTTTGTGATTTAGTAAAAAATTATACAAATTTTGATTTTCTGATTGTAGTAGAAAAAATACTTATATCTTTAAAAAAAAAAAAAAGAAAAACACACGCTACTTTAAAAAGATATTGGGATGACATCATATACTGAAACTGTTATGAATTAAACATGCATGTAATAAATTATCAAGTCAAGCAGATTGCCGCTAACATTATTCAGACTCCAAGAACCAAAAATGGAGACAGCGAGCTTCGACTAAAACGTGAATTTTAAAATTAATGGTGTGCATTCATTATTTAGTTTTAATCAAAAAAGTTTAGCCCAAATGTTTTTTTTTAAACATTTTCTTTAATATGAACACAACTTGTCTCAGCAGTTGGGAATCCCTTTAAAGTGAACTTCCAGAAAACTAGGAATTCTCAGAAAAAACTCATCTATGCACTTTATATCATCCCATATGGATATCAAAAACTTAATGTCAAAGACTTTCATTTTTTTCTTTTGCTTTTTAAAAAAAATAGAAATAAAATTATAAAAATAGATATGAAAAGCGCTTTCAAATATTACGCCATAGCGCTTTCAAATATTTGGTAGTGATCCCCAGCTCTGATATATATATATATATATATATATATATATATATATATATATATATATATATATATATATATATATATATATATATATATATATATATATATATATATATATATATATATGTAATACCTGTAATACCAACTATGTTTGTATTGTTTGATTTTACAGGTCCAAGGGGAAGTTTAACTACAAAAATTTGAATTTTTTTTTTTTCGGGTTGAAAAAATATTTTTATTTTTGTATTTTGAATTACAATATTTAATAATAGTTTCATTAAATTTCAAGTTCAAATAATCTTAGTCACGTTCATGTTCATTTTCACCACTTTTCTTCTTTTTATCAAGAGAAGATAAGCTTTCAATAAATTTCTGAAAGTTTTTAAAAACAGATTGAGTAAACCAATACTTAGGGGGAAAGCTAATATTTTATCCTTTGTTCCTCTAATCCAATTCTATCAAACATATGAAAATTCATTAGCCAACAGAGCAAGGGAAGAAGATTTTCACTAACTTCGTTTCCAATTTTTGTTTTATCTTTTATATCTATTTTTGATTTGTTTTTAGTATTGTACCAAGTTAAAATCGGCATTTTAAAAGTTAGAATTACTTTTGCAAGGTTTGCTTTCTCCTCAAATGACAAATCATCATTTAAAAAAGCAAGAGGAATCATTGTTGAATTTAAATACCAACTATGTTTGTATAGACAGTTTAAAACTGCATCGATAGCATCTGGTTTGGCACAAAGTTTTTGGTACTGTTGCATTTGGTGTATTGCTTTTATATCAAGAAAGGGAGCTCCAATAGCCTGTAAATGTTTGGCATAAAAGCAAACTGTAAATTCACTTAGGCGAGGAGGTTACTTAATTGTTATAAACACAATTAAGTAACCTCCTTGTCTGTAGTGGGATTCTCGGCCTTGGGGAGGTGAATAAACAAAACAAAACAAAACAAAAAAACTTATTAGCCTGATTTCTTGAGTTATTAGCCTGATGTCTTGAGTTTATTGTTCTGATTTACGAACTCAATTTGGCTTGATAGAAGCTGTAGCTTTTGGTAGTAAAGTGCTTTAGATAGGAACCTAGCATGATGAATTGCTCCCGGTTTTCTTAGTTTTACTGAAGACAGAGAAAGGTAACTCACAACAAGTTCTGCAAGCTCCTTTTTATCTTCTCTGATAAAATCTTTATTTTCTTTTCCCTTTTTGATGTATTCTTGACAAAAGTTTAAAGACTCTTGTGCAGCTTTCTCAAGAAAGATTCCACTTGGTGAAGGTGACCACTTACTGCTTTCCAATCAAACTTTATTAGTTCTGTTTAATTATAATTAAAATAAAGACATTCAAAAACAGTTTTTGGTTTTTTAAACAGGATTATTTGGTCCTGTGGATATGGACGTACCACGCTCTTCTTTTTCATACATATTTAAATTATTTTAATTTTTACTTATCTAAAAAAATCTAATTTAAATAATTGTAAAACAATTTACTGCAACAAATGGAACCTTTGAATTGTTTTTTGAGCTACTATAATTGAATCTAGTCAGATTCCCACCTCAAAGAATTTACTAAATTTTATTGTAGATTTACATTATTAATCAAAAAAGTTAAACGTAAATATTCTGGACAATTAGTAAAAATCTTTTGTTAGAAACATAAATGCGGTAAATATATTTTTATATACTGTGTTTTTTTCAATTCAAAATACAATTTTCTGAAAAAAACTGTGATACCATGTATTTTTACTCAAATATATAGGTGAAAATAAACAACCCGAAAAAAAAAAAAAAAATTTCAAATTTTTGTAGTTAATCTTCCCCCCTGGACCTGTGAAAACGGCAATTTTTGATGGTTTTTGAGAATTTTTTTTCTAAAAAACTGCTTAGGGGGTAAGAATTGAGTGGACCTGTTGAGCTCAAATTTTTTGGGAGTTTTTTTTTTTAACATTTGCCCCAAATCTAGAGTGTATGGTATTTTAGAATCAAATATTTCCTCAAATTGACTACCCCTAATATTTATATTATATATAAATATATATGTATATAAATATATATGTATATATATATATATATATATATATATATGTGTATATATATATATATATATATATATATATATATATATATATATACATATATATATATATATATATATATATATATATATATATATATATATATATATATATATATATATATATATATATATATATATATATATATATATCTGTGTGTGCATGCAAATATATATATATCTTTGCATTGGCAAGATTCTTCATATTTCTTTAATAATTTTAGTGTGTTTCAAATTTTTATGTCAAAGATGGAACCACATGTCAAAATGGAGAGGTTTATTTTTTTCACATAGGTTATAATGAATTGAAAAATAAAAAATTTATATTTACATTTGTAATAATATGTTTTATTGTTTTAAAAGGGTTATTGTTATGGTGGATCATGCAAGAGTTTAAGTACTCAATGTAAATTGTTTTGGGGTCCAAGTATGTTTTTCTTTTTTTTACTTCTTTTTCATTTGCTTTTATTTTTAATCAAAAAGTTTAACAATAATTAAGCAATAAATTTTGTTACCAGATGTCAAAGAAGCTGAACTTAATTGCTTCTTATTAAATGCTAAACCTGTGGATAAATGGGCAAATTGTGGGAAAAATGACAGGGATTTGTACGTCCCCTGTGCCGATGGGTAATTATTTTTTAATACAGATTTTATGATTGGTTTTTTTATATACGCCATTGTAATTAGTTCTTTTCAAAAGATTATTTTTAAAATTATCAAAGTTGTGACTAAGGTTGTTTTATAGAGATGCAAAATGTGGAAAGCTACAATGCTCTCCTATTTCTCCTGATCTTCCTGTCCCAAACTTGCCAATTATTGGAACTAACAGAGGGACAAATGTTATTGGTAAATGCAGGTAACTCTTTTTTTTTTATACTTAAACTATAATTAGATCATTTGTTTAAACTTGTTTTATTTGATGCTAAAAAGTTGGAATAAGAATAAGAATTAAAAATAAAGATTTAAAATAAAAATAACAGGATTTAAATTTTAGGATTGAGAAAAAAAATTTAAATCTTGTTATATATTTTTTTTAAATATATCAGGATTTATATTTTTATCCTGATTTTTTTTTTTTTTTTTTGTAATTGTGTACCATTTATAATTTTTGTTGAAAAAACAGAACAAAATTTAATTTTCTATTAATTTTATTAATTTTTATTGGGATCAGCAACAAGAAAGAAAAACATGCATGGATGAGCATGATAAAATTTTTAGAGCTAAAAAATTCAAGACAAGCACACAAAGCAAGAATCATAGAAACTAAACAGTGCTGATTGACAATGTTATGAGAAGTGCATGTAGACTGTTAAATATGGTTTTTATAAATAAATGAAAAAAAAATTAAAATTGATCTTGGTTTTGATTTAACTCAGGTTTTAATTGGTCGATCAAAGCCTGAGGAAAGAGTTTGATTGGTTGGTGCTTTTCTAGAGGTTTTAGATGACAACAGTCATTTTCGAATAAGTTGCTAGAAAGTTGCATTACCTAGCATCATCACCACATTTTAGAAAGTATTGTTTGTGCAGTATAAAAACTGTTTTTTTTTAAAAACAGATACAGTATGAAGATGATTCGGTTGCTAAACTTATGTGTATTAATGTATTTTGGGCACTATTTCTACACTTGTGGCAGAGGTGACAGCAACCTGTAATGCAGTTACATGTATTAACAACCTCCAGTTTATACAGGTGTTGACATCTGATATTGCTGACACGGTTGTTAACAAGTTCCATATTTGTTAATTGCACCAAGTTGTTTATGATTTAATATGTTTGTGTTTATTTATTAAATTGTCTTTTTGTTGTTACTATAACAACAAATGGCAATAACATTATTTTGTCAAAATATTATAACATGAAATTTTAAAATAAAATAAATATAACATTAATATAACTATATCTTTTTTTTTTTTTTAAACGTTTACTAAGAATGGGGTATACATCAATGGGACCAGATTTAGATGATCCATCTCTTGCTATGGATGGAACAAAATGTGCTGACAATTTCGTAAGATTCCTATTTTTATTAATTTGGTTCTTAGTTTCTTTTTCATTACCTTTTAATTTTTATTACAGTGTATAGATGAAGTTGATAATTTAATGAATCAAAGAAGAAAAAAATTATTTTTATTACAATAAACAAAGAGTTATACATTAATAACAATGCAAGTGTTCTTTGGTTTTTTTATAACAATGCAAGTGTTCTTTGGTTCTTTAATAACAATGCAAGTGTTCTTTGGTTTTTTTATAACAATGCAAGTGTGTTTTTTGGTTCTTTAATAACAATGCAAGTATTCTTTGGTTCTTTAATAACAATGCAAGTGTATTCTTTGGTTTTTTAATAACAATGCAAGTGTTCTTTGGTTCTTTAATATCAATCCAAGTGTTCTTTGGTTCTTTAATAACAATTCAAGTGTTCTTCGGTTCTTTAAAAAAAATGTTTTTGTAAATAATATTAAATGTATAATTTCAAATAAAAACTAAAATATTAAAATTTCATTTTAAAACAAAATTTTTCAGTGTTTTACCGTTTAACTTTTTTTTTTTTATTTAAGCGCAGTTATAAATTGATGATTAATTAAAAAAATATGTTTAAGAGTTTTGAATTTGCAAACAAATATTTAAAATGTTGATTGCTGATAATCATACAACTCAAGTCAAACAATTTTTTTTTTAATGTTTTAGAATTTGGTTAGTTCAGATGTGTTTCAGAAATATATTTGGGCACTTCCAAATTATTATTAACCATTTAAATCCATCCTTAATCGTTTTTATTTTCTTGTAATCATGTTTTTTCTTTTTTTTTGAAAATAAAGATATTGAAAAGAACTTTTTTATACACAGGTACTGCTGAAACAAAAAAACCTTTATATGTACTAAAATGTATCCTCATTTTAGTATGACATTATTGGTAATGTTTCATGCAGATCTAATTAGGTTTTTGGAGTTAGAAATCTTTAATCCAGAAAATTTTCAAGCATAAAAGAAAAAAAAAAGAATAATATTAAAAAAAAAACATTTGTGTTTAAATTTACAAAATGTTCTAAAAATGTACTAAAAGATTTGTTGCTATTGTCACTAACGCAACATGTGTGCACTAACACAGCATATATGCTATATGTCTAATGTTGTCAGTAACCCAGCATACATGCTATATGTCTAGTGCTGACAGTAACAAAGCAGATTTTGAGTATCATTAGTTAACAAAACAGTTTAATGAAATGATATTGTAATTTAAAAATCTGAATTATGTAAATAATACAAGGTTTGAAATTTTTAGTTGTTTATTTATATTTTAAGATATTTTTAAATTTTATTAATATTTGTTAATACTATATTATTCAGGTTTGCATAAAGAAAAAATGTACAAATATTTCAACTATTGCTACAATCAAAAAGTGTTCAACTACTTGTCTTAATGGCGGGGTATTTTTTGTTGTTATTACAATTTTAAAATGTGTGTGTATATAAATATATATATATATATATATATATATATATATATATATATATATATATATATATATATATATATATATATAAAGTGGTAGTGTGTAGTGGTAGAGCGCTTGCTTCATAAGCGAGAGGTTTCGAGTTTAATTCCCAACACGTCCCTGGTAGTATCGCTCTCAACTTGTTTCTCCGCAGAGCGGCCTTGTTTGTCAAGGCTCGTGTTTTGGAGTTATAGAGTTGAGAGAGGGTTATAACCACAAGTAGCCTCCTCATTTGTAGTGGCTTTCTTGGCCTTGGGGAAAAGAATAACAAAAAAATGTATATATGTGTGTGTATGTATGTATGTATTTACAGTAGTGTCTAAAAGCTATTGGGCAAGAAGCATTTGTATTATATTTTCTCAATTAGTTATTTTTTTCTTAATGAAATTTCTCATAAGTCAAATTATACTACAATTATGAAAAAACAAAACAAAAGTTCAAATTTAGGAGTAATTACACAAAATATTATTAAATAAATGTAAATGATTAGAATATGTAAATATGTCTTTTTAAAACAATATTGACACAACAAAATATAAATTTTCAGTATTGTTGCATGCTTTTTGTCTAAAGTGACTCATACTTGAAAGATTGGTCCTACTCCATCACTGCTAAAACATAACTAAACCTTTACTGAGCCACCACCATGCTTCACTGTGGGAACTTGATACCTAACAACATTTTGGTGACCTACTGGATGGCCAACATATTTAATACCATCAGGTTAAACATATTAAGCTTTGACCCATCACTCCATAGTATTTTTAACCATGCTGTGCTGTCCAATTTAAACGTTCTGTTGAGAATTTCAGTAGTGCCCTAAGAATTTTTGTAGAAATGAATTTTTTTAATGGAACAGCAGCTAAAAAGATTGTTTTTTTCTAAGTGATGTTTTGCTGTTGCATAAGAGTTGTTATATAAGAGCAGGAAATTTTGTCACTGTGCAAACTCACTATGGATTTCTTTGACATTCTTGTGTGAATCCTTTGACAATCTCACTATAACATATTGACAAAAAATTGTTGATTTCCTTACTTCGACAATACTTGGAAATAATACCATTGTCATAATCTTTAAATTTTTAATTTGATCGTGGAATTTCTATTGAAATTTGTTACACTGTTACCATTGTTAACCATGGTAGCTCATATAACATTATTAGATGCTTATATTATTACCTTTTTTACAGCCTCTTTTAAATATTTATGTCCCATTATAAATTATTGATTATGAAATGCTTTTAAGAAAGTATGCGTTCAGAAAAAATAGGTTAAAAAAAGCTTTTAAAGGTCATTGGATTTTAATTTGTCTAATTACTTTAAAAAAAAAAAAAAAAGAAAGAAAAAGCCAATTGTTTTCATTCTTTTATGAAAATTTGGAGTGATTACTCCCAAATGTGGTTTTGTTTTTATTTTTCATAATTTTAGTATAATTTCATTTTACTAATTTGAATTAAAAAATTTTTGGCATTTTATTGACAGCAGTTTCATTTTAAAAAGTTAAATTAATGAAAAAATATGGCAAAAAAAACTGTCCAATTGCTTGTATATGTATATATTGTAATATAATTAATAGATATAATAATGAAAATATTATCACTCTTGATTGTATCTTGCATTCCTTATATCTTATAAAAGATTGTTGTACTAATAATAATATAATATCATTATCATTATAAGGGATTGAGAAAGGCAAAAGTTGTGGGCTTTAATGCCTGCAGAGTCACTGACACTAGAGCCAAGCTATTCAGTGTGATGAACATTAAAGTCCCCGACAACAACAATATTGGCTGATTAATAAAGAGTGAGGGCTTGGTCAATATGATCAGAAATAACATCAAGAGAAAAAATTGAGTTGATATTATCCCTTATAATGATAATATCAACTCAAATAGTCAACTTTCCAACTCACTTTCCAGACAACTCGAATCATTTACCTTCTCTACTCGACTTATGTCTTGTTTCTGATCCTAGTCAATGCTCAGTTTCTCCACATTCACCCTTAGGTGCTTCCGATCATGGTTTGGTCTAAAACTGTTATCTCATTCTTCTTTATCATCAGAATCCCCCTATCATCGTACATCTTACAACTACCTTAAAGCTGACTGCGATTCTTTCCGTGATTTTCTTTGTGATGGCCCTTGGATAGAAATCTTTCGTCTTCCTGTTGACAAATGTGTTTCTTACATAGCTTCGTGGATTCAGGCTGGCATGGAATCCTTTATTCCCTCTTAACAATTCCAGGTCAAGCCTCACTCTTCTCCATGGTTTTCCTCACATTGTGCTGCTGCAATTGCCAATCGAAACCATTACTTCCATATCTATCAGCAAAACAATTCTCCAGAAAACAGACATCTGTTTATTACTGCTAGGAACCATTGTAAAAAGGTTTTGTCTAACGCCAAAGCCCGCTATTCTCAGATCATGAAATTTCGTATTTCATCACAAAAATTAGGCTCTCGTGACTTCTGGAGAATCTTTAATAGTATCAATAATATCAAACACTTAATCTCTCATCTTGAATCTAAATACTTTCTGATCGCCAATATGGATTTCAATCTTCTTGTTCTACGGCTAATTTGCTAACAGTAATAACCGATAGGTTTTATTGCGCATTAGATAAAGGTGGTAAGGTTAAGGGCATTGCTCTTGACATTTCTAAAGCGTTTGAAGTCTGGCATTCTGGTCTTCTGCATACGCTTTCTTCTTACAGTGTATCTGGAAACATCTTTAAGATTATTGAATCCTTCCTTTCCAATCGTAGTATAAAAGTTGTCCTTGATGGACAGCACTCTTCTTCTTATTCTGTAACCTCAGGGGTTCCTCAAGGTTCAATCCTTGGCCCTATACTCTTTTTAATTTACATTAACAATCTTCCAGATATTCTCACATCTAAGGTGGCATTGTTTGCTGATAATACTACCATTTATTCTTGTTATGATAAGAAGCCAACTCCCTCTGATTGCTTTCAGGGGGCATTTGAGCTTGAAAAAGATCTCGCTTTTGCTTCAGCATGGGGCTCACAGTGGCTGGTGAACTTTAATTCAGATAAAACTAAATTTTTTTTGGCCAATTGTTATCGCAATAATTGAGATCTTCCTATATTTATGAATGGTAATGTACTCGATGAGTCATCTACCCTTCATCTTTTAGGATTAACTCTTACTTCTGATCTTTCTTGGAAACCTTATATCAAATCCGTTGCATAATTAGCATCTGCTAAAGTTGCATCTCTTTATCGAGCTAGACACTTTCTTACTCTGGATTCTATTCTCTATCTCTATAAATCTCAAATCTGGCTTTGTATGGAATACTGTTGCCATATCTGAGGCGGATCTTCTAATGATACCCTTTCTTCTTTCCTTTTGCTTTCCTTATTCATATAATTTGCAATCTTTTAAGTCGTCTGTCAATTGTAATCTTGCTCTACAATCTACATCTTTTCTCTTCCAGTAACTTTTAACACCAATTAGTGGTTGCTTGCAGCCTTGTTGGAAGCAAAGATGCTTAAAAAAAAAAAAAAAACTTATTTTTTCTTCCACACTCAAATGGTGTATCATTTTGTTGGTTTTTAGTAATTCTTGGTCTTTCGCAGGATTTTCCTGGAATGATGCAATCTGTTTACTTGATATGCTGAAGGAACAGTTATCTAAGGTATCAAACATTTGTTTTAGATTTGCTGACTTCAAACATGCAACATTTATTTAGGCTCGCTGACTTCAAACATGCAACATTTGTTTAGAATTGCTGACTTCTTTTTTTTTTTTTTTTTTTTTTATGTTGATTTAGGTGCCCCAAGAAGTCCTTAAAGTCTTATCACAGAGCACCGCAAAAGAGCATTTAATAGGAAGTTTTCGCCTCCTTCCCAATCACTGTCGCAAAACTTGTCCAGAGGTGGGGTTTGAACCACGAATCTTATGTTTCTGAGGCAAGTGCGCTACCACTGCGCCACCGCTGCTCTATATTTCAAACATGCAACATTTGTTTAGACTTGCTGACTTCCATTAAAAGTTGTATTTATGCATATTTAGTAAGTTGTAGTTGTAATTGTTACCAGCATGCATTTTTTGCATTCATAAGTAGTTATCTATTATAATAATGAGTGACTTTTTTGAAAATGTATTACATACATGCATTCATATTTCATTAAATGAAATTTATTTGCTAATTTAAGGGTTTTTTTCTAAAGAATTGCAAGTATAACATTGCATATAATATGATAGAGTATTGAGTGGTGTATTGAGTAGAGTACTGTCCATTTTTAATCAATTACTCGTATGATCTTAAGGATAGTTCAATATTCAAGATATTATTTGAGGAATAAATATATTTTGATGGCTTTTGTAACTTTGAATCTTTATTCAGAGATTTTGGTACAATGTATTTTATACAAAGTATTATCCAGCGTTAGCTACAACTTTTCCCCATCTTCATGGCGGCATAAAAATTCTGCAGTGAAAAAAGCCAGTTTGGGTTATCAATTAAGGTTGATGCATGTCTGGGTTTTCTCCACAATTTTTGGCTTGTTATGGATTCACTTTTCCTCCCTTGTTACAATTCAATCTAAAAAATCCTTTTGATTTTGTCTTTGAAACAGAGTGCACACAGAAATACAATGTTCAAAGTTTCTTGGCTTTATTTCATGTAAGAAACTTAATTTTCTTGTTTTGTTTGCCATAACCATAGCCTTGAGATGGTTGGTAATTGAATGCTTCTTAAATCACTACCAAGGATTTTTTTAAATTGTGCATGAAACTTGGTCCAATAACGCCTCTAACTCTGCACAAGGAGACCTTTTCAAACTTTACTGGCTTCTCTTTGCAATTTTTCAAAATTGTTTTTTTTTTTTAAGTTTAGAACCAGTACACATTTTGTTTATTAATAAATTGCATTTCCCATATGCTTTGCACAGCAATGCCCATCAGCTGCATTTTAAAAAATTAAACTAAAACAAATTTACTAAAAAAATTAGTGCTTCCTATAAATTTTGCCATTTTGCTGAAGTGCAAATGTTTTTAACAGAGAAACAACATATTTTTTAACAGGAAATTTAATGCTAGTTAAGCTATCTTTAATGTAAATTCCTCAAAACTTATTTGAAAACAATGTATCTTAAGATACAATTTTTTTTATTTTTTTATTATTCACCTTCTCAAGGCCGAAAAAGCCACCATAGATAAGGAGGTGGTTATAACCCTTAATAGTGGTTATAACCCTCTCTCAACTCTATAAATCCGAAACACAAACCTTGACGAACAAGGCCGCTCCGCGGAGAAACAAGTTGAGCGCGGTACTACCAGCGACGTGGTGGGAATTGAACTCGGAAACTCTCGCTTATGAAGCGAGCGTTTTACCACTACACCACTACCGCATAAATTATATCATATTAACACAACTTAATAAAATTGTAATTAGGTTATGCTTTATTCTTTAGTAAAAATTTTCTAAAATCTTATGCTAAAAATGCTTTAAAAACAATTTTATTTTTTAAAAAATTTAGGTTTGCAATAACGAAGGAAATTGCCATTGTCCACCAGGTTTTGCTTGTCCCAATTGTGAATTCGCAGGACCAGGTGGTAGTTTAAACTCAGGACAAGGATGTATTCTGCAAAGCGATTGCGGTACAATGATATTATATAAAAATTTATTAATGCACGTTGCTATTCTTTTTGATACACAACTATTTTGACATTTTTTTAAAAAACTGATTTTGATTACAAATCCGTTTCTATAAATTTTTAATTGGTTACTTTTAGGTTGTCTTACGCCATTAGTGAAGGGTCTTTTAGTGTTGTTCCTGTTAGTTATTCCTTTGTTATGTATTTCGTTGTATTTCATGTACCGTTATCGAGAAAACATTCGGCTAAGATTTTCACATGCTCGAGAAACTAGAAATAGGAAAATGTAAGTTGTTTCTTTTATCTGTAAAATGTATTTATAATTATATGTAAATATATAATATATATGCATAAATATATATATATATATAATATATATATATATATATATGCATAAATGTATATATGCAATATATTACATAAAATTATATACATGTGTGTGTATATATATATATGTGTATATATATATATATATATATATATATATATATATATATATATATATATATATATATATATATATATATATATATATTTATATATATATATATATATATATATATATATATATATATATATATATATATATATATATATATATATATATTCATATATACACACACAGATGTGTGGAATACAAGCTCTTTCAATATTATGATTTATAAATTTGTATTTCTAAATCTAAAGCATAATTTTTATTTAGAAATGCTACTAAACATTTGAATGAACAAGACAAAACGGTTGCTCCTAAAAATATTGCTATTATTACCCAAGATGATCAAATTATAGATCAAGGTAATTCTAAACAATTTAAAAAACAAGCAGATATAACCATAGCAGCGTCCAAAGGTCCTATTGTTCTTACATATGATAACCAAGTAAACTATCAAAATAGTCCTAGACCGTATAACAAGGTCTCCGAGAAGTATGTACCTTACTCTGATACTAACGTCACGGCAAAACATCCAGGAGCGAGATCGCCTTATTTAGCTCCAGAATCTAATGCTCATTCATCTGAAATAAATTCTGAAGTTAGATCAACCCAGAAAAAAGTTAAAAACTGGCCACCCCCTTCATCTAATGCATAAAAAAGTTAATTGTTCTGTTAAAACTTATATTTTTAAACGACGCTGAATGAATAAATATAATTATATTATATACATAATATATAATATAAATACTTATATTCAAAATACCATATATAAAATATAAATACTTATATACGTAATACCGTTTTTGGTATTCAACTATCTTTGATGGTATTAATTTGTTGCTGATGTTATTACTGATGTGTGACTAATAGGATGTTTTGTCGATAAAACCTATTTATTGTTGTATGGACGTATCCAGTTTGAAACATTTGTATATTTTTATATTTTTGGTTACATTTTATATTTTAACTTGTGTATATAGTTTGCGATACATTTTGTTTTTTTTTTTCCTATTTAATATATATTGAAATTATTTTTATTAAAAAAAAATGATAGTAGTATTTAAATTGATTTTGTTTATTTTGAAGTAATTTCTTGAAATTGCGGACATTGAACCATGACATTTCATCTTTTTAATTAGATGGAACGCCATATACGCACACACACATACTTCTGCTCACTCAAGTAAAATTTTGATTTTACTTATAATTGATGCGGTTAAAAATTTAACAGATATGATATACACTACCCTACTGGCACATCTAGTTTGTTTTTTGGAATTAAAACCTGTATAGACACGTGTTTGTCACGATCCAGGCGTAAACCAAAAACGCGTGTATATTACGGGCAGTTTTACTCGAGTTTAACACGTGTTTTATGAGGTTTTAAAGTCAAATTTAAATGTCGCATGCTTTTATCAGTGGTTTCACAATCCTTACAGAAAGTTATTATTGTATAATACTACGTTTCCATAACGGTGAAACCATTAATATTTTAACTGGTATTTATGGTAAATAGTAATAGTTAATTTCACGGAATAAAAACCATTTTTGATACGTTATTTTTTTTGTTTTAGAAGGTTTTAAAAACGCAACAGAAATCAAGCGTAACTATTTTCTGAGTTGTGCCGGCTGGGTATCATTCATAATTATTCGAATGACATTAACTTTTTTTAAAAATGCTATTTCCTATTTAACTATTTTTTATGTTTATTTTTGCACTATAATTAGATTATCTAAAAGTTTTTTGATTAAAATGCTTTGATAAAATCATAAGAATAATAAAAATGCTAAAGTGTGCAACAATACATAAAAAAAAATGGACCATCAATGACAGTAAACGTGGACCAACGTGTCCGATGTTTTAAATCTTTAGTTTTAAGATAAGATTGTCTGAAAAAAAATCGTTGAATTTATGATAAAATAGTGTGTATTATCGACTGTAAAACATGGTGGGTGTAGACTGTTTTTGTTAAAATGCCACAGGTGACTTTGTAAAAATAGAGGGAGTAATGACAAAAAATGGTAAGTTGTGAGGCTGTTTTTGTTGAAATGCCACAGGTGACTTTGTAAGATAGAGGGAGTAATGACAAAACTAGTTTGCTTGTACACTTAAAAAATCATGCTACACTTTCGGAAAGATGGGTTAATGGGAAGCCATTTAATTTTTCAGAAAAAAATGGCTCGAAGCTTAAATCTAAAACATATTTTTCATAAAATTATTTAAGTTATTTGACTGAGATCGAGAACGATCAAATATTAAATAAAATGATTAGCCTCCCCAATCAAAGGATCTTTCTCCAATCGTATTTTTATGGGATTGATTGTAATGTCAAAAGCTAATGATGCATAAGATGTGAAAAAAACTTATTAGTTAGTGGCATAAAATTGACTTTGACAAACTGGATAAATTGTTACATAGAATATGTATGGCGGTTTTTGTCGCTAAGGGTGATTAAAAGGCAAGTAAATTATAAACTAATTTAAAGGGACTTTATATTAATTTTTTTGTAAACCTTATAAATATGAAGATAAGATATAATTCAGGTAGACTTTGCTTTCAGTTTTCTCCCAATAGTAAGTAAAACTTTGATATTTTATATCAAAAAGTATGACCATTCAAAAATATATAGCGCTAAGGGTAGTAACCAATTAAAGGTTAATTTATTAAAAAAGTTAAATTATTACTTAATTTATTTTTAAGTGGTTAACCAATTAACTTGCCATTTTAAAAATTGCAAAATTTTTTTTTTTTTTTTTTTTTTTTTTTTTTTTTTTTACAACGAATTGGTATTATTTTCACTAAAAATAATACCAATTCGTTAAAATCATGCTGACCAAAATTGTCTTTGAAAAGTTAAAAACTATATAGTAAAGTCCTGCTGCCTACTTTAGTAAACTAGATAGCAAAACTGACGACTATTTAAATACTATTTAGGAGCCCCAAGAAGACCTTAAACTCTTGTCACAGAGCACCGCGAAAGTGCATTTAACCAGGAAGTTCACGCCTCCTTCCTTACCGTGACGCGAAAATATCACCAGAGCTTGTTTCGAACTTGAATCTCCTGCTTATAAAGTAAGCGCTGTAACCACTGCGCCACTATAATACAGCCACATAATAAGAAGTTAAAAATAGCTCAAGAACAAGGAGAAACGTTTTCAATAGAAACTAAAAAAATACATTATATAATGTAAGCTGCTCAGGCAAATATCAATGTCTTACAGGCCCGTACCGTGAAAGTTTTAAGAAGGGTTGTTTTTGAAAACTAAGACAGTTCAGAATAGCAAATAAATATCTTGCTCATTTTTCATTATAAAGTTTGCAAAATTAAAGGTTTTTTTTTTTGTATGATTTTTTAAATAATTCTTTAGCAAGACAGCGCACAGTGGGCCAGGTGATGGACAAAACCTCAAAAATGAAAATTTATTATTTCAAAAACCATATAATAAAACATAGTCGTAATACTCTATTGTCTGATTAAAAAATTTATATGAGTATAATAGTATCTTTCAAAACCACAAAAATCAATTGTGGTTCCATGAATTATAACATTCGCAGACCCCCTCTTTTCCTCCGAGCGCACGTACTTTATGGAGGACCCCTAACTTTAGTAAACAGGGAGCTTATTCACAACTTTTCCGTAACTCTTGCGTAGCTGAGCAAAAGTTATGAATAACTTACGCAAACTATTTTTTGCGTAACTATTTGGTATTCACAACTTTTTCCTAGCGTTTGCGTAAAGTTAAGGCGAGTTTCCACTCATCCGTTTTTTCACGGGAACAGGAAAGGGACGGGAAAAATAATCACGTGGGCATGCGTAGTATAATTTTTGATATGTCTAAAGGAAAACTACGCATGCTCACGTGATTATTTTTCCCTTCCCTATCCCGTTCCCGTGACAAAACGGATTTAAATTGACAGCTGTCAATTAAATTGACAGCTGTCGATTTAAACGTACAAATGAGACATTTCTATGGAATGAATTGTAGTATTTTTACTATAAAACGTCGTTTACGTCACGCTAATTTGTTAGGAAGACGCCCAGCTAAAAAACCATTAGTTTCCTTGAAAAACCGTAACGCCCGAATGTAGTTTGCATCAAAACATCTAAAGTGGAGTAGTCAAAAATTCTTTTTAGTGACGAAAGCAAATTTATGCTGTTTGGATCCAATGGAATCAGGTATGTTTGACGTCCAGTAGGTACTAGGTACAATCCTAAATACCAACTGCCTACCGTAAAACATGGAGGAGGTAATGTAATGGTTTGGGGATGTTTTAGCTGAAATGGAGTTGGTCCTCTCCACAGAATTACCGAGAATATGAATCATATTTATCCATATGCAAAGGATAAAATGCCTCAAGGATGGATTTACCAACAGGATAACGATCTTAAACATACAGCTAAATCGGTTTTAGAGTTTTTTAAAGAGAGTAAAGTTAATGTTTTGAAGTGGCCATCCCAATCACCTGACTTAAATCCCATTGAACATCTATGGGAACATGTTGACCGTCAAATGAAAGGAATTAAGCCTACAAATTATGCTGATTTATTTAATAAAATTAAAAAATTATGGGACTTAATTCCCATTGACGTTTGCATTAATTTTGTTGACTCTATGCCTCATAGATACCAAGCTATTCTTGATTGTAAAGGATATCCTACAAAATACTAATGTGATTTTGCTTTTGCAAAAAATTTGATCAAATATTGTTGAAATATTTTAACTATTTAAAAAAATAATGCTTTGTCCACAAATTTTTGAACTTATCAAAGACCGTTGATTTGTATACCAATTTAAAAATATTATTTAGATAATAATTATTTGTTCAAAACCTAATTGTAAATTTGAAAACCTTTTAATTGGTATATAATATGTTGGCTTTAGTAAAGTTTGTGATGAAATATAATTAAAATTCCTTATTTTTTTGCCTGTCCGCAAACTTTTGGACGCTACTGTACATATATATATATATATATATATATATATATATATATATATATATATATATATATATATATATATATATATATATATATATATATATATATATATATATATATATATATATATATATATATATATATATATATATATTCTTGAAGGTGCCATTATTTTACCATTTTTTCTTGAAGCTACCTTTCTACATGCTGATACTCAAACTACTTTATTTTTCTCTGACAAACGTTGTTTGATACAACGTTTGTTAAATTGTTTTCTTTAATCTCTGTTTACGATTATGGCTCTTTTTCTTGTCTTGTTAGAGCAGTACCACATATCCAACTGATAATCACCTCCTATTCCGGCAAGTACAACACCATATAAATACTAAAGTTTATATAAATATGTAAAGACATTGTATGTTAGCATCTAAATAAATAGCAAACATATATGTTTATATTTATATATATCCATATTATGTATGCATAAATGTGCTTCTTACCTTACTTCCCGGATCCAAGCAGGTATGGAAGCTTTTATTCCTTTTTGTCGGTTTCAAGTCAAGCCTCATTCTACTCCACATTTTTCATCATCTTGTGTAATTGCTATATTAACCTTTATCTTTTTTATCATCATTTTTAGATGAATATGGTCCGGTTTTAAAATGTGCTAATTTTAACGAGGACCCCGGTCATGTGCTAACTGAAAGAACTATGAATTACACACTCTAAATTGCAGCTACAATTGGGAGACATTAAAATGGCAAAGGCAAGCTTTTACTTAAACAACGAGATTTTTCTATTTATTCATTCATTAATCAGTTTTAATGAAAATATGTCTAAAACATTTTTTAAACATTCTTTTTAATATGAAAACGACATGTGCTGGTTTTTTTTTTTAGTTGTCTTTTAATATGAAAACAACATATGTTGTTTTCATATTAAAAGACAACTAAAAAAAACAAATATATTGTTATCATATTGTTTTTTCACAATATTGATTTTTAGTTTCCGTGTAAACACGCATTTTTCCAAGACAATTTTTTTTTTTT